TTAAATCGTCAATATTTTCAACCACTACTTTTCTAGCTCATATTAATATTAGTAATGTACGATGTGCATTACACGTAAACACATTTAAATTTTTTTTTTTTTACAAAATATGGGAATTATATATTGAATTAAATTAAATAATTAATTCATATTTTAATTATTCATAAATTTAATTATCAATTTATTCTATAAGTTTTTTAGTATTTAATTTGTCATTTATTTAGGTATCTTTTCAATCCCTTTAAGAATTTGCATATCTAATTATATTATAAAGTTATTAATTTTTATTTTGTTAAATAAATTTATTAGATTGCTTATAATATTATTATATTATTGTATATCAAAAAATAAAATATAACATATATTAAACCATAGAATTCAACCTGATAACTACATATATATAATAATTTAACATATATTGAACTTTACTTCTTCATATAAATATAAATAATTGAGTTCAAAAAAATTTAAAAATTTATACTACTAATAAATCTTAGCATAAAAAATTTTTAATTCACAATTTTGCTTTTGTAAAAAACTATAAATGGCTAACAACCATTATATCCCTATGCTTTTAAATAATAAATTAATCTCTAATAAATCATATAAATTTCTTTATCATTGCAAAACATTTGAAAGATCATGTTATGCTTAACATGATATATAAAACAAATATTTTTTTTTTTCAAAATTTCAATATTGATATATGTCGACAACTCTATTGATACAATATCATCTCCAATGCCAAAAAATAGATATCTATAGTTTTTCTCTTTATTCACAATCAAAACAAATTTGGTAAAAAAGTATTGAGGCGCAAAGAAAAAACAAGAATGACAAAAAAGATATATATAACTCTTACTATTTTATAGTTAGAATGAAATAATCACATAAAATATTTTTATAGTTATAAAAAGAATACTAATAGTTTAAGTATGATAAATATAAGATAATATTTAATTTAGATACATAATTAAATTTTTTTATATATTTTATCAAATATTTTAACAAAAAAATTTACGTGCAACACACGTGGTGTATTACTAGTCCTTATAAAAGAGTCAAAAATAAGTTGAAAGTCAACTAGGTGTAAATTAAATGAAAATATATGGGTAAGTATAATTAAAGGTAAAATAAGAAATTAAAATTTTTCACAAATATTAACATTTATAAATAATATAAATATAAATATAGGTTAACGGGTTTGAATAATATATTATCCAATAGCTATACAATTAAGCAGCACTTGGGTCTACAGCCAGTCAGCTACTCAATGGCCGACCCGAGCCGCGGCATAACAGAGACGCAGATAATCTCTACGATCTTTAGCAACGTCACCTCTGCACGTGTCAAATTCACAAGTGGCCACACCTACTTGCCGACAACCACTTTTGAGATTTCATCTTTCCTGGTGGCGTTCATGCACAAGTGGAAATCGAACACGTAGCCTATCATATAACCTTGCGTTTTCTCTTATAAAATTCATACAAAGTACAGTATTTATTGAAGGAATTTCTTTACAAAAAGAATTCCGTTACGACTTGTCTCGGCAACTTGGCAATTTCGCATCTGCCGTGTCACTACTTTTCAATTATAATATAGTATAAGTACGAGATATTTGAGAGCAATGAACTGATGCTGTGCCAGTTTATTTACCATATTTTAGTTGAAATTTATCACTTCTGGAATGAAATTTAATTATTTTTTTTGATTATTTAATTATTTTTTAATTTTTAATATAGTACCCAAAAATAAAAGTACAGTACCCTAGTATTTTCTTTCAGATATAAAATATTACATGTGATTAGACAATTTGTTTTACTAAAATCTGTGTTGACGGCAGTCACATAGATGTATTATTTTATTCTACTTATACTCCCGAAAAGAAAACATTCGGTAAAATAGTATTTCCTTCATGTGTAATATTACATGTGATTAGACAATTTATTCTACTTTAATCTGTGTCGATGGAAGTCATGCTGTTTTATTTTATTCTACTTATACCCTTTGATTAAGCCCATGATGACGACTGAGTTCTACTCTTTTTTATCATTGATGATGTATAAAACAGTTTTACATAAGATTAACAGTCAAATGTGTAATAAAATATAATTTATGAAACAATTAATAGAGTAATCAATGACAATAATATAAATATCCGGTCAATACGCAAATATACAGTAATTTGGTCTAGGTGACCTAATCTATTTTGAGAAACGACGACGGTGGCTGGGGAGACATTTTATTGATTAAGTAAGGTGAATGAAAGAGAGATAGTAATGGTTAGCCCCCGAAGGGACACAATAGCTAAGAGAAAGAAAAATTATATGTGGGGTGTGTGGAGAGGTGTAGAGATATGTGACGAGATGTCTCTCCTATGTAGAAAAAGCTTACAATTTATAGGCATAGAGCCTTGATTGAGGCGGTGACGTGCGGGTAAAGGCACTAGTCTTTCGAGGAGCATATCTACAATAGGTAAGTATAATTAAAATTACCTAGATCTTCAAGAGTAGGCATCCTAATGATTTATCTCCCACATGCTCTTAACTTATTGAGCTCCTTGAATCTTGAATTAAGTCGGATTGATATATCGAGTTTTATCTGCTTTTCTAATAGATCTGGGCTTGCTTGATTTACTAGGTCTGGCCCAATTAGATCTAGGTTCGTCAATCACAATTTTTTTTTATTTGGATGAGATATTTTAATGTATGATATTAGCTTAAAAAGGACGAAGTGTCATTGCAATTTGCATCCAATTAAATCTGTGCACGTAGATTTTTACACATTAATTAAAAAATATAACTTTCTCCCATGGTGAACTCGTATTTATCTTGAGAGTGAATGATCCCGAGGCAAAAGAATGCTAAAGATAGTTTGAGGAGTGGTGATGAATTGCTTATTCAGCTATCTGATTGTTTCCGATGAGCCAACAGTAGTTCCTGACACTCAAAAGGAGAGTTAGAAGGACATCAGAGTATTTTTCGGCATGCCCCCTCCGATGGTCAAATTTGTTTTTGAGAGAGTGGAAGGAAAATACACTGTTTGTATTCTAGAGTGAAATTGCATACATTTATCTCACATTTGTGAGTGATATTTATACTTTTTATAAAAGTTATCATTACTGTCGGGTGAATTCCTCTTGGAAAAGATCCTTATTGGCTCATGTGGGAGGCAGTAGGTGGGGGGAACAGCTTTTGATAGAGCACCATTTGTCACATATAGGAGGTTAACTCATTATTAAATACTCGGGCGCTCGAGCATACAACGTTCTTTTCTCCAAGGTCCTCTGACGATGAATATCTCATTCATTTGAGATAACATTAAATGCTCTTTTGAGATGGCTGCGTGCCAGTAAAGGTATTTTTGTCAATTTACCCCCAATCTTGTGCATCGTGCCACATGTCAGATTCCCTTTAGTTAAGGGTCTTGTCCTTTTTGCCATCCTGACTTCATTGGGAAGACAAGTAAATCATTCTTTGTCTGACTCTGATTCCAACAAGCTACAACCGTCAATAATCCGCCTTGGAGCAATGGTGATATGTCTTGTCTAGGGAGCAAAAAGTGTCTTCGGCGCCGAAAACACGTGACTTCTTTGCAGAGCTGGAGGTGTTCTCGGTGCCAAAGACACGTGTCTTCTTCACAGGGTTGGATGTGTCCTTGATGCCGAGAACACATGTCTTTACCACAGAGTCGGAGGTGTCCTCAATGCTGAGAACACGTGTCTTCACCACAGAGTTGAAAAGTGTCATCGAGGTCGAGAACACGTGTCAAATTCTCATCTTTTCTTAGAAGTGTCCTATCAAAATCTAAAACATATCAAGTGTCCCCCTTTAATTTCGAGCTTAATACCTACCAAGATTGATTATAGATATTTCTATTATATTTGATGGAGTTGGATCGTATATGTTGTGTTATTTGATATTATAATATTAGGTTGATATTAACTAAAGGTATAAGATCAAACCTTATAAATTGATCACCGATCTCCCGAATCAAATACATCATAAGCGTAATTCTAGAATAAAAAAAGAGACCCAGATACAATTATGTGAACTGTTCTCATAGTAATCAGTTGTTGTGATCTGATCTTTTTCCTTTTTTTCAGCTCCAACATATTTAGGACATACCTCAAACAATTACGAACTTGTGCACAAGGCCTGTAGACTGATATTTCCGGATGAGTAATNAATTATGTGAACTGTTCTCATAGTAATCAGTTGTTGTGATCTGATCTTTTTCCTTTTTTTCAGCTCCAACATATTTAGGACATACCTCCAACAATTACGAACTTGTGCACAAGGCCTGTAGAGTGATATTTCCGGATGAGTAATTCTATGCTTATTAATTTTTTTTATTAAATCTTCATCCCAAATGATATGCCATAATTTTTTATTATTAGATAAGTAAGTCTCGTTAATATTTAATGATGGAGATTGTACCACATCATTTGAGACGAAAGATTTGGTAAGAAAATTTGGTAACTATAACATTTTCTTAAAGATAATTCAATTGAAAGGCTTATAAGATTTTCTCTAATATATTTTTATCCATATTTTCATATTATTGATTGATCATCTAATGTGAATATAAGTGATCAGACTCATCGAATATAAAGGGTTCACTCACTAATACATGGTGGGGTTCTATCAAGGAGAAAAAGAGAAAAAGTATAAGAAAAATCTCGATCTAAACTTCAACTTTGTGTATACCTTATCGTTGCCATGCAATTTAGGTTGTGGTTAGAAGATGATCTCATAAATTGCTGCATTTTGATGTGCAGTTCCATTTGCTATGCATCAAAGCAATCAACACTAAAAAACTCCATAAAAACAAATTTCCTGTACAAATCTTCTATCAATCCCCAACCAATTTTTAGAAATATAATAATGCTGAAACTGGGATGATTTTTAGATCTCCACCAACAAATTAGAACTAATACTAAATCAATGCAATGGACAACCATCAATAGCTATATCTTTGGCAGTTGAACTAATACTAAATCAATGTAATGGACAACCATCAATAGCTATATCTTTGGCAGTTGGACATGTGGCCAAGGCACAGTGCTCACCCTCAGCTCCCCACCAAGTAATGCTTATGTTTTCCATACCCAGAGAGAAGTACAGAAGCACCCCCATGAAAGCCAAACCAGCATCCATTGCAGCTGAAAGCACATAATTGTACCTCTGCCACCACTTCTTTCTATACCGAAAAATAAAGAAGTTGAAGATTGTTCCGATAAAGATCCAGCTATTGAAGTTCAACGTTGTAGCCGGAGGCATTGCAGCCGTTGCACCGAGCAGGACCGGAAGGTTTATCAGCTTAATCCATGTTTGGCTAGGGAATGCTTTGTGTAGTAGCCATACTACAAGAGGTCCTATGGCACCTCCTAGGAAGCACCAGTTAAGGGCTGCATAATTTCCAAGAGAACCGAAGATCCGTTTGGGTCCTACTAAACCCCAGATGACAGATGCATCGAAGAAGACGCGGTCACCGGGGCAGGTCCAAGGGCTATTGAGGGGGAGTAGTTGATCTTGGCATATGTTTTCAACTGTTGTCAGCAGCCACCATGCCGTAGCAATGTTGATTGTTCCAGCAATGATGGTTCCAAGGAACTAATGTTGGAGATGTAATCAGATAGTAAGTCAGAAAGGAATTAGATATTGAACATCTTTGGAAGATTAAAAAAGTTTATGAACTTTAATGAACTGGTTTTTGTATGAATCTGTCTAACTAAATAGACAGAAGACTAAGCTACCGTTTGCTAATATCTTTTGAAAGTACTTTTGTTATTTTTCTGCTTTTTTAAAGAATTTTTGAAAGTAACGTTTTGTTTTCACTTTTTTGTTTTTTCATTTTTTCCTTGCCAAATCTTCCTCTAATCTTCTAACCACAATCTGATAATCACAAAAATAGTAGTATACAGTACATGTATATTAAAAGTATAGTTAATGTTCCAAAATCACTTTTGCAAAATTGTAACTCCACATGCTTATACTTTTTTGATGAAATTGTTTTCTAACTTAAAAAAACATTACCAAGTACTTCAGAGATTTTTTGAAAATTTTGTTGTTTTAGTTCAAATTTAAAACATTTGAGTTTATAACTCGTCCAATGAATAGGGTTCAACTTTACTTACAGAGTTTGTTTGAAATAAGTGTCTAGTAGAAAGACGTAATACCTGAATTATGAACATAGATCTTGGTGGAATCTTCATGTAGTGACCTAGCTTAAAATCATTGAGAAAAGAGACTGCCTGGCTCATGCTTATATAACCATATGTTTTGAAGCAGACATTGGCTATTGGTCTCCCTGGATATATGATACCCAAGATGTACTCTGTGATGACATTTAGTCCTGGTGTCTGAGATCAGAAAATAAAGCACAAAAAATGAGAATGATAATGTGGAACAGTGCACAACACTACAATAAAAAGAGCAACCTACTCCACGAGACTCCCACCACTGTGAGGCCACTTACACCGCACGCGGAGAGGCCATTTTCATGACCCAAACTCTTCACACCCATGTTGCAATGGAGCCTTACTGCATTGTCAAGTCTCACAATATATGAACAACGTTAGAGCAGAAATGGTAGCTTTGTTACCTGATTTGTTGTGGCAGTTATGATGCTCACTGGAAGGGTAAAGATCAATGCAAGGCCGGCCGCAAAGAGGAGTCCCCACCAAGGTAGTTGCACCTGATCTTTCATGAAGATGCAGAGTACAAGAGAGAGTACCATTGACAGCAAAAGCATTAGGTAAAACCACCAGTTAGGTATGTCCTGGTATTTCCTCATCAGTCTTGTGTGAATATCTATCTTCCCATTGTAAGAAGCTTGAAAACGGTCATATATCTCCCTGTTCAAATGAGTAAATCAAAGTCTGGTTTAATACAAAGAAACTACAATGGCAACAAACAGAAGTTATCAGCATTGACAAAACAGAATCCTGACACAGTAGGATGTCTAAGTAATCCTACATGTATCATATTTTATTTTAGAATTAATTGCATTAGAGGTCATCAAAGTATAAAGTTTGTCTTATTTTGATTCTCAATATTTCAATTGCATCATTTTGGTTCATGAAATATTGAATATATTTTTATATGGTCCATTAAACAGACAACGTCCAAATTGTTAATAGTTTTTTATCATAAATTTATCACATGATACCTAAATATAGGTAAAAATAAATTTGGTAACTCTTGACAAAAAAATGTGTAATATGGGTAGCTCTTCACCAAAATTTAGATAGTTCATTATCAAAATTATATAATTTAGGTAGCTATATGATCAAAATTTGAGTATAAATTTGATTAAGAGTAATTCAAATTATTTTTTTGTTCATATTTAGGTATTATGTGACAATTTTATGATAAAAAACAAGAATCACATAAAAATATATTCAATATTTCAGAAACTAAAATGATATAATTAAAATATTATGAACTAAAATGAGATAAACCCATGGAAATACTTTGAAAACATTCGGTACAATTAACCCTTTCCTTTACGTGAAAATAACTAGCAACCGCTCATTCTACCAAGTAAGTCCAAGAATCTGCCTCTCCAAATTGAGGGTAAGTAATACCAAGCATATTTTTTTTTTTTTGAACAAAAATACGAAGCATGTTTATTATTTATCTCTCTTATATGCCCACTCTTAGGCGAGAGCATATACGAAACTATGTTGTGGCCAAGGAAAGCAATTTACAAACTTGTAGCTACCAAATGAATGCTTAGAATCAAAGTATGATAATCGATAAACCGATCTTACCTTCCATTAAACAAGGCCACGTGTGCGAGGGTAGCCACAATAGCAGCAAAATTGGCACCATAGGAAAGAGCAAAGAAGATGCTGAGATTTATATGTCCCTGCTTCTCATATGCCGGCATGTCTATCTCAAACTTCTCATTGACAATAGCCGATACATTATACGTCTGCCCCTGGGCAGTGAACAAATGTGACGAGAATATGGGAAAATTTTTGGCACTGTACAGGTCCAGTCCCCAATAGGCTATGGGAATTAGAAGATAGACTACTAAAGCATAGCCCACAAACACATTGAAGATTGCAAAGAATGGGGTAACAAGAGGGCTGCTGAGGAATGAGGCTATGACAGACCAATCAAGGGTCAGAGAGGCAAGGCCGAGGCCACGCATGCCCGATCCGAGTTGTTGAGCAGTTACTGATCTCGGAAATGCCCAGCAGAGCAAAGAGATGTTTGACAAGGTGGGGAAGAGGTAGCCGGGGAATATGTACCACGAGAAGGCGCATAGTAGTGCGATTAGAAAGAATTTACCTCGCGACATGCGCTGGTCGTCTTTCTCATGAAGTGCCCTGCAATGTTTATGCCAAAACAATGGACAATTAGTAAGTACTTTCTTATTGTTCTTTTCTAGTCTTACTTCTTCTGCATGGTACCATCAAATATATGCATTGCAAAAGTAGATTATCGTTCTTGAAACAGGGCAGTGGAATAACAATTTGGTTATCTATTCGAAGTGGGTAATTGAGAATGCACTCCTAGTTATGTAACTGTTAGAGAATTTTAATAAAATTAGCATTTTATATGGAAAATTCAATCTCATATTGACTAAAATTTTAATTTGAGTATATATATATATGTATGCATACTGACTCTCTCCCCCCCGTACCCGCTTCAAAAATTTGTCTATGCTCGGTCTACCCCTATTAGTGGAAGAAAATTATAATCTCGAGGGTAAATTTTGATCCTCGTCCCTGTTTTCATTCCTGCCACCGTCTCTGTCTATAACAATTAATTTCTATAATTTTTATTAAAAAAAAAACCATAAAACCTAACAAATAGATCTAAAAGAATAATGAAATTCCATTATATAACAAATTGATCAAAAAAAGAAAGAGAGAAAGTAAAGTATTTTTTTGGTAAGGAGAAAAATGGGTGGGTGAGTGGAGTTTGTGATATTATATATATCTATATAATAAAGTAGAACGAAATTTGAATTTTGAAGATAAAAAGAAGTCCAAATTGTTTTGAGATAAAACATAAATACATCCAACGGATAATGTAATTTCAACATAAAAGACGTTTCAGATCATCTCAAAAATTATGATCTAACGGTCAACAAAGAGTCATATATTTTTTTTCCCCGCCCAACACAGACCCCTGTCTCACACCTCTCTTATCTCTCATATAACTCTCTTATTTCTTAGACATTTTAAACACATTATCTTATCTCCTCTCTCTCTTCCTATCTCATACTAACTGATACAACTCTCTCTCTCCCTATATCTCACACGTTTTAAACACACACTCTCATATCTCATATAACTCTTTATATATATAATAATAACAAAATACAATAACAAAGATTATTTCTAATAAATTATAAGTTCATTAACATATGTCATTTAGAACGGAGTCAAAAATTTTATTTAGGGTAGACACTTTAATTATGCACTCTAATTTTTTTCCTCTTAACTAATAACACTGTATTATATATTTATATTTATTATATTATATTTGATACATGAAGTCCATTTAACATAAATGGCCAAAAAATTACATGAAGTTAATTGAAAGAATTTTCGCTTACAAAAATTCATAATAAAATGAAAATCATCTGAAAAAAACTATATTATTATAATAAAAAAGACTAAATAATTAAAATAAGAAAATTATAGAGTGAGTACAAATAAAAAATATGTGTATAACTTTTAGAATATATAAATATAAATAAATAAATAAATAAATATATATATATATATATATACCATATTTTTTTAAAAAAAATTGAGAATGGGTCCGTGTCCACCCTCGCCCCTGTGTAGCTCTGCCCATGTATGTCATCATATATCTATCTATCTATATCTATATAATCCTAATTAGATTTTTATTTCTTTTACATCTCTTTCTTTTTTACACACTCTCATCTCTCATAAAATTCTATCTTTTAAGAGTTTGACTTGGATGACTATATATATATATATATAATAATAACATAATACATTCAATATCCATTAATACCCTAATCTCTCTCTATATATCATATTATCATCTCTTATATAACTCTTTCTCTCTCTCTCTCTTTATACAGCCACCAACACACACATGTCAATATCGACTCCTACAAAAAAAGAAGATATTTTTTAGGTATAATGATTAAATATATAAATTGTATACATGTTGATATTTTTTAGGAGTCGTGTTTTTAAAGGAAGTTTTGTAAATTTTTTTTAAAAAAAGGTGTTTTCAAATTAATTTTGAATTGTGTAACTAAAGAAAATAATAAAAAAGTAAAGTATTGTTTGAAATATTTATATTACATAACCGGTGATCGAGATTTTTAAGTTGCTTAGTGTCTTCGGGCATGGGTTATTACTAGTATGTATTAATAAGTGGGCGAAAGGGTGGGTAACGTTTCTGTCTTTGTGATATTATATAAATTTAGTAGGTACAAATATTTTCGTATATGACTATTGGTCAATACGTATAATTCAAACGAAACAGATTTAGACGGATACACGTTTTTCACACATATACTACCATCCTGACTTTTACATTGCTTCTTCCATAAAAGAGCGGGCAGCTCACCCTAATATTCACTTGATTTTTCGAATTCATATTTTTAACACGAAGAGCAAACCTTCATCTCTTGAGGTATAATTTTGCCCAAAAAATGATATTGGCAAGATTTTTCAGGGAAACGCTGTGTTTAAAGAATTTACCTGAAAAGGGAGACTTGAACAAGACTACTCGGCCACCACATTTCTGCCGGCTCCACCACATACTTCCTTAGAATCCCAGCCCAACCATATCCCAGAACCTGCTCCACATGCCCACGTAAGCATAAACAATATTCATATAGGTCACTCACGTGGAATAATATTTTTAGGATAAAATACATTTTTAATCTCCAAAATATATGTTTAGTAATTATTTGGTCCCTAATTTTCCAACTGTATCTATTTAGTTCGGAAAATTCTTAACTTTTATCTATATGGTTTAATTCCAAGCGGGGTTCTAGTCTCGCACCAATCACATTGGTTTCTAATTTTATATTTAATTGGTCCTTAAAGACAAAAGTTCTTAATTTGTGTCTATTTGATCCTACGTGAGATATTTGAAATTTGATTACATAGATACAAATTATGAACATTGGGGCCCAAATAGACACCATTAAAAAAATGGAGGTCAAATAGACATTAGAGACTAAATGTGTATTTTATACATATTTTTACAACCAAATTACATTTTTATCATAAAAGAGTACTTAAAGACTGCTAGTAGCTGAATGTTTGTCTATATACTTCACTCTGCATTTGCATCCCCATGATTCGTACATACAGATGCCAATCTCTTTAATTCTATGTCTTAATCTGAAACATGGAAAAGGAGACAGACCTGGGTGGTGATAACAAGAATCCAACTAGCCAAGAAAGAGATGTTCCTATGATAGAAAGCCTTAATGATATCAACAATACCAACAGCATAAGCAGATCCACTACCAAATGCAGAACCAGCATTAGCAAATATAGAGATCAACACATGCTCTTTCATATTAAACGGTCCCGGATTCAACGAATACTCCCTCGATCCAAGACCCGGAACCCGAAACTTCGTCTCCGGTAGAACTTTCGCCATGAACCGGCCGACCGGAAGTGTGGCGACTTGCACTGATATCATCGTTATTATCAGTGGCTCCGTCCGGTAAGAGAAAAAGGTGTTGAGAAATGAGAGGAGAACGCATGATAATATGCCCAGAAACCACATTCGAAAGGTCCATACCGGGAGTGAAGGATCGTCGTCGTTTGAGACGGTTAACCGGACTTCTTCCACCGGAGACTGTTCATCGTCGTCTATAGGTTCCTGTTCTGGGTCTTTGGTTGTTCTCTCTGCTGCACCTATTTCCATAGAGGCCATAGAGAAGGAGATATTGGAGAGAAGAGGGGAGGGGGGGATTGTGTGAATGGTTTAGAAGTTTAGTTGGTAACGAAGTTATTGTGGCAGTGTTTTGGTAGAGTGTTAGTTACGTAGAGATAGCACTGCAGGGATACGAGGAATCTGTTACATTCCGGACCAGACGGATTCAACAGCTGTTTTTAAAATGCCTTGATTCGGGTCCGTTTCAATAGCAGGAGATTAATGCACATTGCGATTTGTAAAATAGAACGTGCCAGCCAACATAATTGAATCTGTATCCAAATCAATTCTGGTACACTTTTTCTTTTTAAAATTTCTTTATTGAACTCCATTTGAATGCATAGTAGATAACGTGCTACAAAAAAAATTGAAAAAAAGTGTATTACATAAGATTTCACTCATTTGAATATGTTTTTAATTATTTGAATTTTATACAAGTTGTAAATTTTAAATCTATACAACGTCAAGAATATAAATAATATTGGTGGTGCCGGTTTAATCAATACACAATTGATGATATGTAATCAAGAAAAATTAGAGAATATTATGTTGGAGTAGATCCGAATTTCCATTATATTGAAAATTGCATTCTTTTAAGCACGAAAATGACTTTCTTTTTTGACTTACAAATGTGCAGAATCACACATAACTAAAAATAGCAAGACAACCAATTCAATAGTATTTTGAATTTGTGTGGATCTCATTTGATACAAAGGTTCATTGTTAATTCAACGAGAAAATAAATTAATTTATCAAATTAAATTATTTATTGTGTTCAAATAATAATAGTCTAATGAAAGACTTTCCTTCTAATAATAATACAATCAATGTGAATTCTCGTGTATGTTTTGCGCTCGAAAAATTAGCGTTTGACAGGTGAATAAAAGTGAAGATTGATTTATGTATGCCAAGTATATTCAAAACATATGTTTTAACTTGAAATAGTTCACTAACAATTATGGCTACTTAATTTTATATTCTATTTTTTTTTTTCCATTTTGATCCCATAATTTCCTCCCATCATTCACGTCTTCTTTTGCACATTTCTATATTTTTGTATCATACCAAAAGTTGCTTAAATCAATAAGCAAATATTACGCTGAAAACCGAAAGTCAAACCCTTAATCATTTTTAGTCCACACCGAAAAAGTCAAACGCAATTAAGATGCAATTTTCTGAGTCGCCCCCTTTTCTGAGGATTATGTGAATAAGGTTTTCGTTTGAACTTCTTGCAATCATTCTAGTTGTTTGTGAACGCATTAAATGTTTGTAATATAGAATTTGTGGACTAATAAATGGTGAATTTATCCCCTGTTTGGTCGGAGGGAAAATGGGGAGGATGGAAAATGGAGGAAGGAAAGTGAAAGAAAAGAAAAATCTTTTCATTATTTGGTATGAAGGAAAAATGGGAGGGAATGAAAAATGGAAGTGAAATGCTTTCCCTTGAGCTTATCAAACATTTTTTCCCCAAAAATGGGCGGAAAATGAATTAAAAATGTAGGGAAGATGAGATTTTTTGTGAATTGACTATTTTATCCACCACTCTCTTTAATTATATAATTTTTAGTATTTACCACATAATATAATTATAACTTAACTTATTAAGTTTGCTTTTGCATATATAATGGAAGATTTAATAATTAATGAGAGAAAATATACACTTTCCAACTTTCTATCCTTCTTTTCATCATTCTAATTTTTCATCATTCTTACCAAACGGACCATTAATGTATTTTAATTTTTAATACATTTTTGTCTTAATTTAACCTAGTTAGTAATTAGTTATGCATTAATGGTAGATCCGCTTGAATTCTGGGGTTGGGCCAACCCAGGCCAATTCTTATTCTGGCAAAATGACCAAGCCGGGCTAAGACCAGAGTACCCTCCAACCCATGGCCTATCGTGTAGCTGCAAGCGGTTCGGGTAATCTCATGCCATTTTTTAATACTGAAGTTACAACTTAAATTTGCAGCAGAAGATGGGTGCTAGGCCAACCCAAGTAAACTAAACCTAGAGGACTTAAGTGGTGCATTCTTTTTTAGACCACAAAAATGTTGAATCAAGGTTCATTGGTGTATAATGTATTGTTGAATAAAATATGGGTAATATTACATGAATTTAAAAAGTGAATTTAAAATATATACTTGATAATCATAACCATTGATTTTATTATAGGTTCTAACATTTTTTGGGATCTATTATCTATTCAATGATCTTAATTATCAAATACATATTTTAATTCTAATTTTTAAATTCAAATAGAATTTTCCAATATATATATATATATATAGGAGTATTATTGTCGCTCAAGTTTTTTCTCCGATAAGTAGTCACTCAAGTTTTATCACAACATTTTTACCATCTAGTGCTACATGTAAAAAGGTTAACTTCCTTAAACTAAGGCCTTTCGTGATGAGAAACAAAGTTTTATTTGGAGAAATGGATGGAAGTGTTCGAACATGCGCTCGAGGTCTTCTAGTATTGATGGAAATTTGGAAACAGCTTAAGCTGCAATCGTTTATAGCACAATGGTTTCTCTAGCATAAGTAAACATGTTTTCTGTTTTAATTTTTTATTACAACTAAATATATTTTCTGTTTTAACTATTTACCACAAAAAAATAAAAAAAAATTATCAAACACGCCCTAAGTTTTTTGGGCGGTCACGGGCCATTATCAGTGCAACGGCTCGGCCAAATTTTTGGGTCAGGCTGCAGGTTACTTTGGGCTGACTTGGCCTGTGGCTAGTTGAAGAATTACTTATTATTTCTAATCACTTTTGCTCCACTTCATTACACATAATTTCCCAAGCAGTATAGCCGCCTAAGCACCAAGTTCAGCTTTCAATTTGGCGTTCAGCATCTTTAGTTCTTTACAGTCAATATGGCCTTTATTACCCAAACAGCAACACACCCGACGCCATTGTTAGTAAGTATCAAGAAGTTCATTTTGCACTCCAAATGGGTTATATAATCATTTAATCCAAACTATAAGCATTTTTAGTTCAACACGTCCTTTAAGGTACAGATTAAATTTTTGGCGTAACATATGAAAAATCTTTTAATATTAGGGTAATAACGAGATTTGGACACAAACTCCTATTTTGATATTATGTTAAACAATCATTTATTATAAAAGTTTAAATTGTTAGAAAATGTATGACTTAATTGTTTATACTTGAACATAAAAGCGTTCAATCTAGGTAGGTGTCCATCACATAGATGGTGACGGAACTTTAGGCGGCTTAGCAGCCCCAAAGTTGACACGTGGATAGATGTAGCCGTTATGGAACTCAAAAGGCGCTAGGAGAAGGCGCAGAGAAGTATTGACCAAGAGAAGCTAAGAATAGTCGATTGGACCTAGCATTAAATAGGACATGACTGCTCATTTATGAGGAATTGAGTGACTGTGATAAGGCTATTAATGAGCCTATGTGTTCTCCAGACTCACACAAACAATTATTATTATAAAGCATTAATGATTATTACGCCGACTAGATGTTCTTGATAAACACCGAAGTACTTGTTCCCGATTAGTAAACGCTCGGGAATAGGTGTTAAATACTGATTAGATGTACTTAAATGACTAGGGATAGGGTCATAAGTACTTGGCATGCCCCGAGCAATCATCTTATCACTCGAGTGAATCAATCATGAAAATCTGAGTGGAGAACACTCATTAAACATAGATAAGAGTGCAAGTCATTAAATATTGCGATGAGACTCAAAACTCTTGTATCATTACTAGTTCAGGTATAAATACCCTTAAAAAAGATGAATAAATATACGCAAATTAAACTGAGAAAAATACTATGTTAAAAACTCCAACGCCTACTGACTTAAATTTCAGAAAGGATTAGTCAAGTGTTCACCTGACCCTTTTCCTAACCTTTTAGTTGTTTCAGGTTCATCGTCCAGCGAATCGCTATCTCTATTCATTGTAGGAATTCTGTCGTGCAAATGACTTCAGACTCGAGGGGTCAAATAGCCCACGACACGATCATTCTTTCATAAAAAATAGTCGTCAAGTTAATTGCAAATATCAATATTTGAAATTTGAATTAAACTCTCAATGTTAGAGGTAAGATTAGGATCCGAATCATTTCAATCTCGAATTTTTTCATCCGTGTGTTGAGGGCCTGCACGATGGAGCATAGTTTTTTGTGACCCGCGTGAAGTATTCGACCCAAACCGACTAATGCAGGGTAATTAATTGGTCTACTAATGGGTTTTTATTTTTCGCATCCTGCCTGGCTGACAAATCTAGAAACATTTTTTTCTTTAGGGCTCAACAAAAATTTTCAGTCCAATAATCAGAATTTGAAATAAATTTGGGGGCAGTACAAATTGTTGGCAAATTATTACACTAGGTGAATATGATGGAGAATTTGGCTTATGTTCCTCTTCACATTCCTCCGTATCGGTTGGGGGTGACTCAAAAGTTTCTCGACTTTGAGATCTAAAGCCATCAAAATGTGGTCAAGTTCAAGTATCAAAAAATTGTTTTTGCACATTGTTTTGGTCATCTAAGAAATTAAAATATTTTGAAAATTATTTATACCAAAAAATAGTAAAATCTGACAAGTGAAAATAATTTGATAGTTATGAAATAGTGTGAGNCATGCCCCGAGCAATCATCTTATCACTCGAGTGAATCAATCATGAAAATCTGAGTGGAGAACACTCATTAAACATAGATAAGAGTGCAAGTCATTAAATATTGCGATGAGACTCAAAGCTCTTGTATCATTACTAGTTCAGGTATAAATACCCTTAAAAAAGATGAATAAATATACGCAAATTAAACTGAGAAAAATACTATGTTAAAAACTCCAACGCCTACTGACTTAAATTTCAGAAAGGATTAGTCAAGTGTTCACCTGACCCTTTTCCTAACCTTTTAGTTGTTTCAGGTTCATCGTCCAGCGAATCGCTATCTCTATTCATTGTAGGAATTCTGTCGTGCAAATGACTTCAGACTCGAGGGGTCAAATAGCCCACG